ATCTAGATGACCTGATTCAATGTAAACAAAAATGAGCAGACGTTGGTAGGTCAAAGACAGGACCTTTGCTCCTCACATCTCTAAAAACGATGATCCGCAAAGTGTAGGAACGTGTAAGCTGAATTTAAAAAATGGCGCCACAAAAATAAAATCCGGTTTCACCTTGACGTAAAAGACCCATTATTTTCTTTTTTTTTTTCTTTTACTGAAAACTCCATGAAATCACTTTATCCGGTGTCCTCACGCCTACCAAAACCATTAAATATGAAACACTTTAGCGTAATAATCCACTAACATTCAAGTTTTTTTAGGCATGGCTCCTTTTTTTGTTTTGTTTTTTGTAATTTTCTTGAGACAGTGCTGTGTGGAGGGTTAGCCTCACAGTAATAGATATCTATAAAATGCCTCGTTTCTCGCTAGTTTTGGCACCGCTCATGTCCCTGAGCCAGTGGAGGTCATTTATTAAAAGTGGGGGCACGACAGAAACTAGAGCAGTCGCGGCTCCGTTCGCAAACTTGGGCCTCTTTTTGCTGTCTGAAGTCGACGTAAAAACGTCCCGTGGGTATGCCACCGTGTGCCGTAAAAATTCCCGCGCAAAAAGCCAGGGTTGTTAGGTGATGTTGCTCGGGTTTGCCTGTTCTTTTTTTTTTTACATTTTGTTTTAAGATTACAGTACAGTTGCACACTTTTGGTAGATGCTTCAAAGCCATGCACCCTGAGAAGCAATATCCCCTTTTAATAAAAGGCTCACCAATCACGAAAATAAATACATAAATAAATCAATAAAAGAAAAACATACAATAAAATATTTCTGGCCCCTGCATGCATTTTTGTTTTGTTTTTTTGCATCAAATAATTGGCACGGGTTTAATAAATGCCCCCCATTATGTATGACTTGGCACTTCATTTATGAATACACGTGGTTTTCAGTCCGTTTCAGATCGTTCCTGAACAAACTTTAAACTCTAGCGATAGTTGGAGTGGTTTTGCAGAGATGCGGGTCGGGCGACCAATCGCATTGGGCACTGATTTTGAGGCAGGACTTTGCTCGTCCGGGGCATAGACTCTTACGCGCATAATAGTGAACGGGCATGCTTGCTTTCCAAAATTCACTGCAACTGTGTTTGTGGCACGCTATTGGTTTGTGGATTTTTGGAAGGATTCGGTCCTGGAGAGCTTTCAAGCCCAATTGAAGCCTCAGCAAAATAGAAGTATTTCAGCTGCACAAAAACACTTATAATTTTTTTGTAATAGAGCCTGATGCCCCGTGCTGAATAATAGAGCCAGGCACCAGTCCAAACTTTTCTCCCCGAAGGTGCAGATAAGGGCCCTTGTGCAACCAGTGGTCTCTCTGCTGCACAGGTCTGATACGCTCCCTGCTGAGTAATGGAGCCAGGCGCCAGTCCAAATTCTTCTCCCCAAGGCTGCAGATAAAGACCCTTGTGGAAGCATTGGTCTCTCCGCAGGGGTCTGATACGCCCCGTGCTGAGTAAGAGAGCCAGGCGCCAGTCCAAACTTTTCTCCCCGAGGGTGCAGATAAGGACCCTTGTGCAAGCAGTGGTCTCTCCACGGGGGTCTGATACGCCCCCTGCTGAGTAATAGAGTCAGGCGCCAGTCCAAACTCTTCTCCCCGTAGGTGCAGATAAGGTCCCTTGTGGAAGTAGTGGTCTCTCTACAGGGGTCCAATACACCCCCTGCTGAGTAATAGAGTCCGACTCCAGCCGAAACTCTCCCCACAGGCTTCAGAGAAGGAACCTTGTGCAATCAGTGGTCCCTCTGCACGGGTCTGATATGCCCCCTGCTGTGTAATAGACTCCAGTCTAAACTCGCCCCCCCCCCCCGGGGCTGCAGAGAAGGACCCTTGTGGAAGCAGTGGTGTGATACACCAATGCTTAGTCACAGAGCTCAGCAGGGCTCAGCAGGCACAGAGGTCTTCAATCAGCAAAGCTCATGCTCCCTGCTGATTGAGGAACTCAACAGGGGTGAGTTGGACTTCTGCAGAGAGACTACTGTTTCCACAGGGGTCCTTCTCTGCAGCCCGTGGAAGAGTTTGGACTGGCATTGGGCTCTATTACTCAGCAGGGGGCGTATCGGACCTCTGCAGAGGCACCACTGCTCTCACACAGAGCAGCGGTTCTTCTCTGCAGCCTGTGGGAGGAGATTCTGGAGAAGAGTATGACATTTATAAGTTATAGTTCTTATGCAGCCTGAATTAATATTTTTCTGAGATTTCAAGTGGGCTTAAACACTTTTAGAAAATTAGGCCATGCGAGCTTTAGCCAGATTCTTGGGCCTTGATTCACTATAGTTTGGAAAAGTCAGCAACATTAACAGTGTCAGTATCACTGAACATTACACTTGAACTAATAAAGTTTTCTTTTATTGAAATCATTAGCATTGTTTAAAATGAAGTTAGGCGGCATATTAGTAGATCAGTTCAATGCATTCACTGCAAATATTTCTATTGTCTTCAAATTACTTCTAAAAAAAAAATAACCCACCATACCAGGCATACTGGTTGGTGTTTTTTATTATCTATAGGGTCACGGGCATGTGGGCACTGCTGCTGTGCTAATAACAACCCATATACTCCAAGCAAAAGAAAAACCAGCCCATGTACCCATGACTATTGATGTTTAAAGAGCAAGGGTCTTAAAAAGCTAGCATGACCCCATTTAGAAGAGGGATAGAATCTTAAATTTCTTGGGCTTGGGTACCAGGCATATTGGTTGGCATTTCTTTTACATCTATAGGGTCACTGGCATGTGGGCAATGCTGCTGTATTACTAACAACCCATATACTCCAAGCAAAAGAAAAACCAGTCCATGTACCCATTACTATGGATGTTTCAAGAGCATGGTCCCAAAAAGCCAGCATGACCCCATCTCGAAAAGGGATATAATCTTACATTTCATGGGCTTGGGTACCAGGCATATTGGTTGGCACTTCGTTTACATCTAAAGGGTCACGGGCATGTGAGTACTGCTGCTGTATTACTGACAACCCATATACTCCAAGCAAAAGAAAAACCAGCCCATGTACCCCTATCTATTGATGTTTCAAGAGCAAGGGTCCCAAAAAGCTAGCATGACCCCCCTCAAAAAGAAAGCTAGTCTCTTACATTTCTTGGGCTACTACAGGAGATGGTCAAAGACTTAAGAGACTTACTTGTTGGACATCCCATTCCAAAATCATGACCATTAATATGGAGTAGGCTCTATCCTCCCATGGCAATTATTATGGAGTTGGTTCCCTACCCACATGGGCATTAATATGGAGTTGGTTCCCTACCCCCATGTGTATTAATATGGAGTTGGCTCCCTACCCCATGGGCATTAATATGGAGTTGGTTTCCTACCCCCATGGGCATTAATATGGAGTTGGTTCCCTACCTCCATGGGCATTAATATGGAGTTGGTTCCCTACCCTGATGGGCATTAATATGGAGTTGGCTCCCTACCCCATGGGCATTAATATGGAGTTGGTTCCCTACCCCTTGGGCATTAATATGGAGTTGGTTCCCTACCTCCATGGGCATTAATATGGAGTTGGTTCCCTACCCCCATGGGCATTAATATGGAGTTGGCTCCCTACCCCATGATCATTAATATGGAGTTGGTTCCCTACCCCCATGGGCATTAATATGGAGTTGGCTCTCTCCCCCATGGCCCTAGGGGTAACTTTTACGCCTGCAACAAGTTTTTTTGGGGGGGAAATAAAAATAAATTTATGAAGCACAATAAAGTGGAAACCGTAAGAGCACAAAACAAAGGGGCAATAGAATCTGCTGAACCTTATTTTTTTTAAATTATTATTAATCCTTTTAAAAAAAGTGGCACCTGAGGTGGTTGTTATACATTTTCAAACAACATTTATTTTAAAGCTTTTTGGGGGGTAAAAGGGGGGTGAACATTTTCATATATATATATGT